ATGATAAACTACTTTGATTTGCACACTTTCCTACTTGCTTTGCACATAAATAAAATAAATAAGTAAAAAGTCCTTGCAGGGTCGCATTAGTAAGTTGATTATACAGTGGTACCTCTCGAAATTAATTGGTTTTGGAAGAAATTTCTTAACTAGAAAATGGTGTAAGTAGAGACGCATTTTCCATGTAAATGCCCTAATTCGTTCCAAGTCCCCCCCCACCCCCCCAAATTCAGACATACATTTTTCCTAAACCATGCAAATGTAGTCTAAATAAAATATGTAACAAATACATGTTACAATTAGATTATTACACAAAAAATGAGAATTGTGTATCATGTAAAATACAAAGAATAAAGAATAAAAATGATGGTCATTTAACTGCTAACTGCGTCATCATCGTTTTTTGCCCTCTTTAGTTTACATTCTCGCTCAGAAGTGTTTTTTGCCTGGCATTTTGTAAAGAACTGATCTCAGGACGTTTGCTTTTGTCGGCTTTTAACAATCTTTCGCAAATGTTATCGCCAAACATCAGCATAGTGAGCGATCGCCCGACTGGTCAACACTTTTTCTGGGTGCTTCACATTTATGTAAAACGATCGGAACACCTTATGGCCAGAGAGGCTGCACTGCCCCATATCCCTATCCACGCTCATAGACACATACGGTATTCTACTGTACAACAAATGTAGAATAAAATAACAGTGAACAACTAAGAAGTGGACCAATCAGGTATAATAAAATGCGCCCTACAAGGGAAACATGATAATATTGAAGTTCTGATCCTACATACAGCGTTAGCATCATTGCTACTTGTTACAAATGTGGCTGATCAAAAGATGACACTATTGATTGCTACTTTCATCCGGTGGCTGCTGGCTCGTTTTCAGTGACTAACCTGCTAATGTTTTCGGGGTCAGTCTGTGCAAAGTCTTTTAGCATTTTCATGCTCCCCGCTTGATCAATTGGGTGTTACTCGTTCAAATGTTTCAACCTGAATTGATACCTGTATCGAAAGAACATTGCAACAAAGTCATGACGATGGAAATGATAGAAACAGAATTCTCTAATGTTTTCACTGGTGATGGCTGTATGGAAGGAGAATACAGGATTGAGATAGATGATAATATACCACCAGTAAAGTGCCAAAACGCAGAGTGCCAGTTGCAATGATGGAACCACTCAAAGAGGAACTCAAAGAACTAGTTGAAAGAGAAATCATTGCTCCAGTGGAACCAAGTACAGACTGGATTAGTAGCATGATTTCATTGAGGAAACCAAGTGGGAAATTGAGGATCTGCATAGACCCCAAACCATTAAACCGAGCTTTGAAACGAAGCCATTTTCCACTCCCAACAATAGATGACACCTTGCCGGAGCTTGCAAATACGAAGGTATTCACCGTTTGCGATGTCAAACATGGATTTTGGCACATTAAACTGGAGGAAGAGTCAAGTTACCTCACAACATTCTCAACCCCAGTCGGACGCTTTAGATAGCTAAGGATGCCAATGGGAATAAGCCCAGCGCCGGAGATTTTCCAAAGGAAACTCACAAATGCACTGGAAGGCTTACCTGGAACATACTTCATTGCTGATGATTATTTTAATCACAGGAGAAGGGTCAACCCAAGAGGACGCTACCCGAGACCATGATGTGAAACTAAGATGCTTCCTACAGAGATGCACGAAGAAAAACAAAACTAAACAAGGACAAGTTCAAGCTGCGACAAACGAAAGTACCTTATATAGGACATCTACTGACAGCTGAAGGACTGTGTGTTCATCCAGAGAAAGTGCGAGCAATCAGAGAGATGCCGAGACCAACTGATGTGAAAGGTGTACAGCGACTGGTTGGGATGGTGAATTACCTGTCAAAATTCTGTGAACACTTATCAGATGACTGTGAAGTCCTGAGACAACTGACACACAAAGACAACATGTGGGAATGGACAGATGTCCACGAAGAGGCATTTGAGCGACTGAAGGACAAAATAGCCAACGCTCCAGTCCTGAAATACTACGACCAGAAAGGAGACCTGACGCTGCAATGTGATGCATCTGAGACCGGACTGGGAGCTGCCCTCATGCAGAATGGGAAGCCAGTGGCGTATGCAAGCAGAGCTCTGACACCCACAGAGAGGGGCTACGCTCAAATAGAGAAAGAATGCCTCGCAATTGTGTTTGGATTAGAGAAATTTCATCAGTACACCTATGGCAGAGTCGTGACCATCCAGAGTGATCACAAACCCTTAGAAAATATACACAAGAAACCATTGATAAGTGCACCAAAGAGACTACAACGAATGTTACTCAGGTTACAGAAGTACAATGTTCATGTGACTTATGTACCAGGCCGAGACATGTTGCTAGCTGACACTTTGAGCAGAGCATATTTATATGGCTGTCAGAAAGGGGAGGCTGAGTCAGAGATGGAAACTGTCAATATGATTGATCATCGACCCATTTCGACAGAGAGACTCCACTCCATTCGATTGGCAACTAAAGAGGACAGAAGATTACAACAGTTGATTCAAGTGATCCAGAAAGGGTGGCCGAAGAGCAAAAAAGATATCCCGGCAGATATACAACACTTCCAATCATTTCAGGATGAGTTAAGCTATCAGGATGGAATTGTTTTCAAAGGAGAGAGAGCAGTGATTCCTGATGCACTCAGAAGTGATATCACCTGTCGCATCCACTCACCTCATCTCGGGATTGAAGGATGTCTCAGGCCTGCAAGAGACTGTGTATACTGGCCAGGGATGAATCAACAGATAAAGACTTTTATATTAAAATGTGATGTGTGCAGGTCTGTAGACTCCAAACAGCAGAAAGAGATGCTACAGCCACATGACATGGAATAAAGACCCTGGGCAAAGGTCGGAACTGACTTGTTCTCATTCCATGGAAAGGACTATTTGATTACTGTGGATTATTATTCCAATTTCTGGGAAGTGGATTATCTTCCGGATACATCAAGCGTGACAGTTATCTGAAAACTTAAAGCACATTTGCAAGACAAGGGATCCCGGATATTGTGGTATCAGATAATGGGCCACAGTATACCTCCCAAGAGTTTAAACGTTTCAGCCGGCTACGGGAATTCAGACACAGAACGTCATTGCAAGGTTACGCGCAGAGTAACGGGAAGGCGGAATCTGCAGTGAAGACAGCCAAAGCTCTTATGAGAAAAGCTGCAATGGATGAACGGGACCCTTACCTAGCAATGTTGGACCATCGCAACACACCGAGCCAAGGTCTTGCGACTAGCCCAGCACAACGAGTTCTGAACAGGAGGACGAGAACCATCCTCCCTACAAAGGATACGCTTCTGAAACCAGAACTTCAAGATAATGAGCAAGAAATTAGACAAAACCGATACCGGCAAGCGAAATATTACAACCGCACAGCGAGAAATTTTAATGTTCTGAGAAGTGGAGACAAGGTGAGAGTGCAGCCCTTTGATCCTCATGGAGTATGGCGACCTGCACGAGTCGTCAGACCTGTGGACAACAGATCATATGAGGTGAAGCTGGACTCAGGAGGCGTTCTGAGGAGAAACCGACGGCACCTCAGACAGGAAAGTGACACAGCATCCATCATCTCGACAAGGGACGGGACTCAGAGTACTGCACCATGTGGGGACAGTACTCAGCAGTATGGCGTTGGGGACCGGACCAGACTCGTCACCAGGTCTGGTCGTCAAGTTAACAAACCGAAATACTTGGAGGACTACACGCAATGAGGACAATGGCATTGAATAATTGTGAAAAAAAAAGGGGAAAAAATGTTCATGTATAATTTGTATATAAGAGTTTGAGAATACTGATGAGGTTGTGCATGAAGACAATAGCAAGTAAATGCACTATTTTAGTTTTTACAAGGATTGTACTAAGACGCTTTAATTTGGGTTCATTCACAAGTAATGCACTGAAAGTGACACTTTATGTTGACAGTTATGCATGTCCTTATTTTTTAATATGTATATAGTTGAAGTTTTGTGAAGCTAAGAAAGTTAAATGATTACATTATAAGTCAATGCTTCAAATTGAAAAAAGAAAAGATGTAACAATAGTATTGTTAGATTGAGTTGTTGCTAGAGGGACAGCTTTGGGTGAGGGAACAGGAAGTGACGTGTGTTCTCCCCGATGTTACGAGACTGAGTTCCATACATGTGCTTCCAGTGTTGTGCCTATTAAAGTCAAGTAAGCAGAAGCTTTAACCGTCCACTCTGTTTGTTTAGACAGAACAGAACAGAGCGAAACAGGATGGATTAAACTAACGAGAATATTTTATCTGTGAGCCAGATGCAATCATCAAAAGAGCCACACCTGGTTCGCGAGCCATAGGTTCCCGACCCCTGCCCTAAACTATGATGTCGGGTAGTCTGCTCTAAATATTAGGTGTTGTTAACTATTTACATGTCATACAATGGATGATGCAGCTGTCACATACATACAGGACACTGTTTGGGTGTCAGTTTGGTTTGTTGTTTTGTTCATTGTTTTTCAAATGTTTTGCTTTGCCTCATATAAATAATGCCACAATTATGTGTTTTGTCTGCTCCGTTCACATATTTTGATAAACTACTTAAAATACGGATCTCAATGGGAGATTCCCACGCACCAAGCCCACTCTGCATAATATGCGGCGATGGTGAGTCGTATTTTTCATGCATTTTGTTTCTTATTTTGAAGGCAGGTTTAAACGTTACCATAGCAACCAGAGAGTGTTGCGGCGAGATAGGACGTTCCTCGTCATGGTTCGTGTTTATTATTATGTTTCGAAAATACCACAGTTTTCATGCAGGTCATATATTATTTCGTTGTAAAGGCTGGTCCCTGAAAATATTGTCTGACATTAAACCGGTCCGTGGGGCAAATAAGGTTAGGAACCGCTGGTTGACAGCATTACAAGCACGTGGCTGTTGAACCACACAGATGTCCACGCTTAAAGACTCACCATTATGATGCTTTCTTTTGCTTCCCTTCAACAGGAAATGCCTTTGTGGTGAGCCTCGCCTTCGCCGACTTGATGGTAGCATTCTACCCCTATCCTCTGGTGTTATATGCCATCTTCCATGATGGCTGGTCTTTGGGAGAGACCCAGTGCAAGGTATGCATTTATTATACCTACTGTCAGTACATCTAGGCGTCAGTAATTGATACATGATTGCAAACTGTCAATTTTCCTCCAAATCTAGATTTTTGACGGACTTGTCAGGATCACACTAAAAGTTTTATTGCGATGGGAAGCACAAAAAGGATTGGGAAGGATGGAAGTCACGCCGTAGTTCCCGCTGCAGCTTTAAAAGTCTGCTATGATTAAGTGTGGACACCCTCTTCTAACTAGGGAGGAGGCTGTGTTCATAATTCAACCACATGAATATATACTCTTATAACACATTCAAACTCATGCCAAATGGGAGTCATCATTTCTAGAAGAGGTCTGACAATTGACTGGTATTTGGAACCGCTCATAATTTCCTCCACTGGTATTTGGAAATACAGGTAGTATTAATTTCCTCCACGAAGACAAAGGTCCTGGTTCCAACTGAAGAAACACAGCCTCAATGCAGTGTTGTGTTTTGCCAAACATACCTTTTGGAAGTATGGCCAAAAAGTTCAACCTTGGTTTTATCGGACATTAATGTGTCTTACCGACTTTTCTAGTGGTGTTTTTTTTTTCTTTCTTTCGAAGTAAATGCTTCTTGACACCCTACCCCATACATATGAAGAAAATGTGAGATTGTTGTCCCATGCACGAAACAAAAAATACTTGCCAGATGTTCATGCAGCTACTTTAATATTGCAGTCAGTACCTCTTGGAAGCCTACCTGAAGCAGTTTGAGCAATTTTGGAAGGACGTGCAGAGCTCGGCAACGTCAATGCTGTGCTGTATTTTGTCCACTTAACCCTTATCTCTGTGTTCCATGTGATATTTATACTCATGGAAATTATTTTGGAAAATTCTCCTGACTGTTAGGTTTGAACAAAAAGATCCCTCTGATACCATGAAAGCTTTCTGTGGACCATGGCTTATGCTGTAAGATGTGACAATAAAAATGTAAGGAAAAAGCTACTCGAATATCTGAACTTTAGTTGAGCATGGGCTCTTTAAACGGTGGCAGGGGTGGGCTACATCCGTTTAAAGGTCAGATTCCAAAGTGTTTTCAGAGTCTTCAAATTCATATTCTCGTTGGTAATATGTTTTGTAATGCACACACGTCACCTGCTGCTTTTGTCAACCACAGATCTAAAGAAATTTTCGCCTCTTCTGAAGTCTGTATTCTGCTCATATTTACTCATGCTGTATAACTTTCCCATGCCCGCAGTGTAGCTTTGCGTCCCTGTACCAATCATCACCTAGAATTGGAATACTCCCTGCTGAAGACGCACAAACATTGGAATGCGCTAGTTGATACAAGCTGAGAATCGGTTTAGGAGAAACGAAAGTTGTGATATCACACTTTGTGTCTCGGTACCACCCTTCTGATGGTATAAAAATGATGCGAATCTCTTCCTGCTTTGCACTCGTGACGCGTAGCCATTGTCTGTAAGTCGTGGGTGCCCGGAATATTCTGTTATTAAAAGCTTCGAAGGAACTGTTCATCGACTCCAGCCTTTATTTGGATTACCAACATTCTCCTCGTCCTAAATTCAAAGAACACACGGGGGAGAGGAGGCCACTCTTCCCCCAACACTTCATAAACCCATTAGCTAAATCCCGGTGGAACGAAAAAAGACGCCGTGGACAAGACTGCTATTGTCGTAGAAAAATATTTATTTGGGCAGAAAAAAGGAAAACACACAGATTACCAGAAAGAACGTGTCCATCCGACCTCGAGCGTCGCGTCTGCCCCGCTAACTGAGCTGTGGTCTTGTTAAAAGCTTCTTTGATCTGTGACGTCAGTTGCGTCGGCGCTGATTGGTTGAAACCAAAAGAGGCGCGCGTGTGCAGATGTTCACGCATATGCACCCACAGCAGAGAGCAGTGGATGATTGACTGCTGAGGCGCGCTTCACTCGAGTGGTGTCGCTACAGATCGATTAAAAAATAGGTTTTAATTAGAGCTGTCAGTTTAGCACGTTTTTATTGGCATTAATTTAAATGAATTTTAACGGGATTAATTTTTTTCTCGCGAGATTAACTCGGCATACGTCACAGCGGATGTTATGTTGCTCTATAAATAAACCAGAAACAAAACAACAAGCGGCTGCACGTGTCCACACACTTTTGTTTTGCCAGCCACTGCAGCGCGAGACACCGAAAACGGATACTTAAAGAGTTTATAAATGGAAAGTTTACTTTTAAAAAGTTGCCAGAT